ACAACTTTATCTAGCATGTTATCTTCAATTGGTACGAAGTCTAGGAATGAAATATCACACGCATTATCAAGACTACATCTTTTGTAATTCACAGCTTCTTCTTGAAAAAGATCAGGCCACAATGGGGAATGAATATTCCATGGCACTTCTTCTGTATTATTTGGTGTTACAATGTTATTTCCTTCTTCTTCATGGCCCGATGATGATAGCCCACTAGCCTTGTTATCCAAACCGATGTTTCTGACTGTCACTGAGAATGGGGAAACCTTAACGGCCTTGGGGAGATATATTTTGGTGTTTGTAGTCTCTGCTTTTGAACTGTCCGTACTCTTCTTCTCAAGTTTCTTTACATTGGTGAACTGGCTCTTCTTCTTTCCCACTCTTGATGCTTTTGGTTGAGTTACTCTACTACCTGTTTTCACTTTCCTGCTAATATGGGAATTCCAGTAGTTTTTAATCTCATTGTCAGTTCGACCTGGTAGTCTTTTAGCAATGAGAGACCAACGATTGCCAAGAAGAGAATGAAGCCTGATGATAAGGTCCTCCTCATCAGATGAAATGTTCCCTCGTTTGATATCCGGTCGCAGATAATTCAACCATCTCAGCCTGCAACTCTTCCCACATCGAAGTAGCCCTACAAATTAAACAATTATCAAATAAGCTGTGGAATTATATCTGCTTACTATCAGCGAATTGATGTAACAGTTGAGTTTAGTCTTACCGGCTTTTTTGGGCAAATTTCTCCAATCGCCTTCACCATTTGCCCGAATATAATTAGTTAGCACACTATCTTCTTTCGGACTCCATGGACCTGTACGCAAACCAACCTTAGAGCAACACGGTGCCCTTCCCATTTTTCTTTCCCAGCTACTAGCTAAGCTGAGGAGAATTGTATTGAACTCTAACGACTACAGCAGTTTCCCACATTTAAAGGTCACAATGAAGTCTCGCGAGAATGATGCTGAAATAGTCTTATACGCGTAAGTTAGATTATGAACTGTTACTTGATGTTCGTAGGATTATTTCTTCATTGAACTGAACTTCAGACAGGGTTTTAATTATTTGCCGAATGTGGTAAGTAGTAATATGCTTCCTCAGCAACCCTTCACCATCTGCCTTTCTCACTGACTCTGAAATTGCTCCTTACTTTAGTTTAGCTAGGAACATGCCTAGCTATGATATGAAACTTAATTAAACTCAGGTTTTCTTTTTTTCTTTTTTTTGTAAATAAAGTATAAGAAGAATTTGTAAAAAAATTAGTGTAAAATCACCAGAATATGAAAATTTAGGCATGTCTAATAAAAGATTTGAATAATATTAAATATACTAATCCCTTATACAAAATCTTCCTTACAAACTGATATGACACAGAGTGAATAAATAAATTTGTATACTAAATCAAGTTAATAATTATTATTTAATATAGATAAATGATATGACAATAAAAATGTTTGAATTATTTGAGGAGGCAGGTAAATAGTAATTCATGCTCAACAACCATTCACCATTGGGTGTTCTCTCTGAAAGTGGCCCTTACTTTTCACCCTCGTCTAACCATTTTCTTCCGATGATCGTGATGTTAACAGACAAACCTATTTTTGGTTTTTTTTTTTTTTTTTTCGAACAAATGACTCCATAACCATTACTGTCAAGATGGTGGTCCTGCATCAACATGTTAAATCAAAGTCCACACCAGCGTTTAACTCTTAAATGTCAGCCACAAATTAGAGAACAAAAAGAGGGTATACTAATACTCATATCATTTCATCAAATTTAGATTCTGATATTCAAAGTCAATCTTGATCCCATAACACGAAGTATTAAAGATCCTAATTATGGTATGACTAATTAATTTCTTTGATTTAACATATGTGGAAAAAAGTTTGATTTTGAAGCTCATTCATAACATGCATGGATAATTTGCTTCATTAAACTGATCTTCAAAAGGGTTTGAATTATTTACTTCATTAAACTGATCTTTAGAAGGGTCTGAATTATTTGCCGAAGGTGGCAAGTAGCTAGCAATGCTTGCTCAACAACTTTTCTATATCTGCCCTTCTCTAAAATGGGTTATGGCCTTATGGGTTCCTTCTTTTCACGCTTTGCTTCATAACTATTTATAATTTCTTTGGATGATAGAAATGTTGTACAAGTGGTATCTCTGTACTGTCTTATCATAATTCAGTGGTGGAGCCTATCTAGGGTTTTATAATATTCCAAAAACTCACAAAAACTTTATAACATGTGAAGGAAAAATCAATATAATAGGACAAGAGAATCATTACACCTTCTTTTCTTGTGAGTTGTCGAAAGAAATGTACCCCACAACCACTATATAAATTACAATTGATCAACCAGCTAAATTTGTCTCTTTGCTAAATTTCTATAGAAATTCTAACGTAACATAGGCAGATGGTGATCCAAGATCAACATGAATTTAACTCTTAACGTTATATCAACACAGTAGAGAGAGAGAGAGAGACGACTGTAAAGGAAAAATGCAAGAGGATGAAGAAAGGAAAAAACAGAGCAATGTCAGCTTCAGAAATTAATCAACAACAAGAGGGGACTTTCCATGATACATATATTGATATATCTGTGGAATCAAGATCAGCATTCATGACAAACGATTTAAGATTACTTTTTCTGATGGAGCCATCAATTATTAAACGTCCTATATATATGATATGATGGCTAATTTCTTTGATTTAATTTCCTAATGCTGCTTTATTTTAGTCTTTGTTCACGTTCAAACGAGATTTTAATTATATTTTAGACCTTTCTTACTGCACTGCACGCATCTTTGTGCAATAATGTCGTATACAATATTACACAGTAACACAAATAATTAACAAAACATTATTTGTGTAACAATGTCGTATACATGTATACGACATTATTTGTGTAATTAATATCAGAAAACCGTTCAATAATTAGCTTGAAACGACTGTGGAATATTAATAATAGTAACCGTAAGAATATTTAATCAACAGAAAAATGATCTTGTTTTTTTTGTTTTTATTTGCTTTGATTATGGCCCTATTGTATGAACTTGCTAAATATAAATTTGAGAGCGAATTAACGATAGAGAAACAAAAGATCATTAGTCCCAAAAAATAATTTGTTAGCGTGGGATTTCACAGCATCGTTATTCACTGATTGAGTGTTTATTTGGTATACTCCAACTTTCTTCAAATTGTCTTTCTTGCCTTCTCAATTTTGACATAGCACTAAAGCTCCTCTCTCAATTCTAACACATTCATTTTAACCTACAACTCTTCCCATAATGAAGTACCCCTTTCACACGTAAAAGCCAAATATAGAAATTAGACAATTATGAAATAAGCAGTGGAATGATATCTGTTTATGAAAACAAATTTCAGTAATATACAATTATGAAATAAACAAGTAGTATTTACTTCATTAATTAAACCAATCTTCAAAATGAGCAGTAATACTAATGCTTGCCCAACAACCCTTCCCCTTCCCTATCTGCCCTTCTCACTCAAATTTTACTTCCTAATTTCTTTTGATATGATAATGAAGTTAACACTTAACAGTGAAGCTTCATCACTGGTCCTAGCTAATATATGTTGACACTGCATTTTGGGTGCAATATCTCTTATATAAGTTTTTGGATACAATCAAGGTATTGTAAAATCAGGAGAAAAAAAAAAGTCCGTTTGATTTTTTATTTAGAAATATTTTTCAAAAACTAGAATACGATTCAAATTTTTTAGTTGTATCTTACATTTTTAATATTTGAAAATGTGTTTGATATAATATATAAAAACCTTTTTCAAATTAAAAACTTCAAGAAATCTTGAAAACGACTTTTAATCGGTTTATGATTTTACACTAGTTTTTAGGATTATATTCGAAAACTATTTTCAAAAACATTTCTAACACGGTTCTACTAAACACATTTTCATGAGATTTATTTTATCCATTGTTTTAATATTCATGTATAAAGCTAATCTAGACCCTCAAAACACGAATTATTAGGGATTTTAATTACGATGATGACTAATTAATTTCTTTGACTTAACTAAGAAGCTACGAATCTGGGTGGCTAAGAAGGAAACTAAATTAGATGACCAATCAACCGGACCTTATTGTTGGAGGACCAAACAATATACATATATGTAATAGATTGTTCGGTTGTATTGCAGAGCACTAAAAGCGGGACTATATAAAGTCTCCCTGAACATGTGTTATCGAAGATACATTCATGAAAATATTTCTCGAATTTATAATTATAATTATCCCTTTGTAGAAGCTTTGTCATGTAAATTATCCACATTAGAATTTTTTTTTTTTTTTAATGACCCGAGATGTCCGAAGTAGTTTACGTGCACCTCAACTAATCTTTCGGGATCCTAAAACTACCGACCGGATAAAAGTTTCAATAACTACTTCTATTAGTAATCAAAAAGGGACTCGAACTCAAGACCTCTTTAATAATACACCCAAGAGTTATTATCAAACCACTCGATCACCCAAAGATAGTTACATTATAATTTAAAACATTACAAAGTTATTGATTGTAATAACTAAATCTGCAAGGAAATTGTAAGCACGTGTTCATCTCACTACACAAGAAGTTATCAAATTAAAACTGCAAACCTTGAGAAACGTAATTAGACCCGCAAATTGCGGGGAAAGAGGGCAATTATTTGGAGAGAGGGTAGAGAGAATCGAAGCAGTGGATCATATGAATTGAGACATAAGACATTTGTTTTTCTATGCATTGTGTATTATAATTAGTTTGTCCAGTTTTGAAGTCTGAATAAAGTTGAAAATAAAAGGTGGTGGAGTTAAAATAGCATAAAGCTAGTATTATTTAATATTTAATTATTTATCATACTATAAAGTCAGAAAACGAGGAGAGTAGGTATGTGACAGCAGCTTCAGTTTATTTTAATTGATATGATAGAAGTCTGACGACACTACAAATTTACAATTAATATGCCTCCTCTTTGATCGGCAACAGGAATTAGTCAGACAGAAAAAGGAGAATCTGATTGGACGTTCTCCTCAAATTCCAGAAGCTGCTGATACTCCTCTATAATTTTGTCCAGAGTGTTATCTTCAATGGGTACAAAGTCTAGGAATGAAATATCGCTCTCATCATCAATACTATATTCTTCGTTGCCAGCCGCTGCCGCTGTCCCCTTTCTACCGTAATTGTTCCTTCCATTTTCAAAGCTATTTGATGGTACTTCTGTATTATTTGGTCTTATAATGTTTTCATCTCCATGGCCGCATAATGATGATGATGATCCACTGGCCTTGATGCTCTTAATTGCCATCGAGTATGGAGAAACCCTGACGGCCTTGGGGAGATATACTTTGATCTTTGAATTCTCTGCGTTTGAAGTGTTTTGATCATTCTTCTTAGGTTTCTTTCCATTGTTGAACTGTTTTCTCTTCTTTACTACTCTTGCTGGTGTTGGGCGTTCAGTTTTTTCTCTACTTGTTTCCAATTTCCTTCTAAGATGAGAATTCCAGTAGTTTTTAATCTCATTGTCAGTTCGACCCGGCAGTCTTTTAGCAATGAGAGACCAACGATTGNAATAGACAACTTTTGACATGTTTAGTAAAATCATTAGTTTTTCAACACAGAACTTTTGACATTTTTAGTGAATCTTCGCCCGTCAATAATGCCTATTGAAATTCTTGCTCCATTAAGTATAGCTGTGTGTCTCCCAAAAAGTTCCTTTTGGTTTTAATTTAATAAAGAATAGAAAACCTTTTAAGAACAAATAGAAATGTAGAATTTCTTACTGCCGGGAGACGAAAGGAACAACCCCAAATGTAAGCCCACATGCAGCTTGAACAAACACAGAGAAAGATTATTGTTATGCCTAAAAAGTCAGGGTTGACGTGGACTCTCGTCAGCAAGAGCCAATCAGAATTCAGGGAGGCTTTGTGCCTTTTAGATGTTGCCACGTCGCGCAATGACGGAAGATGTATGGTTCTCGTCAGTGCAGCAGGTGAATGTCAAGCTTGCGAGTGGCTAGAAATCGTTCACCTGCCCAAGCTCTACGCAATTTAAAAATATCTCTCGTGCAGACAACCAATGAGAAGCGAGTTAGGAATTGTACCCCACCTGCTGGACTGCAGGCTCATGATTATTACCTTGAATCCTCCCACTATAAATAAATGGCTCGTCTCTCATTTATGGGATTGACTTATCTTTAGTCTTAAACACCATACACCCCTTCTCTCTCTCTCTCTCTCTCTCTCTCTCTAGATTGTAACTCAGCTCGCTACATGCGACCTAACTGTAACCACCTATTAATACAACTACAATGGACGTAGGAATTGCTTTTGAGCATCCGAACCACTTTAAAAACTGCATTTTATTTACTCTCTTGCTACATATTTCCATATCACGTGTAACTTCTAAGCTCGCTTAGCATTTTGCAAGTGTGAGTCGTTGGTGTCAAAATCAAGCATCAACAATTTGGTGCTAAAAGGAGGGCTTGATTTAGTATCTGCTCTTCATCAGAAACCTCTGACCAATCGGTCATACCCATCAGCAAATGGCTCGCGGTTTTGAAACTGAGCGAACCGACATTGACAATGAGGAAATCCCTTAGGTACAGGATGACACTTCTCCCAAAGTGCCGCCAGTCCAACAGACTATCATGACGGATATTCCTTTAAGCTCACGGCTCAACCCAGTCGTGATGAGTTACTTGGAGAGGTTTAATAATACTCTCCAAACGATTAGCCAAAGGCTAGACCGTTAGGATCGGGCGTGCCACCAGAGTCTAATGAAGCGGTACCACCGCCAAAGACGCCTACAGGTCACGCGAAAGCACGAAAAAGGACAAAAGCCTGTACCATGCGCACTACAGTGCGCAAAAGTAAGTTAAAACAAGTGGCGAGTAGTGGATCGAAAAGCTCCGCGGGACCAGCAAACACCAATCGTGCACCGGGTAGAATACCCGTGGCATTGCGACTTGGCGACATGTCGCAGCATGAGCCATCCCACGCCACGTTGCATGGGCCCTCCCAGAAAAGTGCAAGGCAAGAAGATTCCTAATATCACCAAAATGATGACCTTAACCGTCATCATGTGGGAAACCCCCATCGTTAGCGGGTCGGTTTGGACCACCACGGAGATTAGGAAAACTGCCCGAGCCATTCAATGGCTTCACATGGCCCCCGCCAGCGTGTGTCAAGGTTCGTCGGAGCTTCCGACCGAGTTGAGGAAGAGCCCGATTTGCGGTCTTTCCTTAACCGCAACAGTGAGGGTCGAACCCACATTGCGAAAAGTGATCCCCAAGCAACTCCGCCACCTCAGATTGAGGAACTACAACGAGCTTTGGATCAGCTTAAGGCTCAGCAGAATGAGTGTGGGAAGGTCGTAGAGGCGTCTCCATTTTCTCTAGCAGTTTTAGCTACTCCTCTCCCATCGAGATTCAAAATGCCCGACATACGGACATATGATGGGAATTCAAATCCGCAGGATCACCTTTACGAGTTCAAAGACCTCATGGAACTCCACCAAGTCTCAAACTTGGCCAAATATCGCTGCTTAGCAGTAACCCTAATTGCCATGCCAAGCGCTGGTTTATATCGCTTCTCACAGGATCAATCAGCTCGTGGCAACAAATGAGCTCATCATTCTTGAGACACTTCCAAGCGAACATGAAGTTCTCAATACCATTGAGCTACATGAGCAACATACGACAAGAGAGGGATGAATCCCTCCAGTTTTACGTAGACAGATTCCACAAGGAATTCCATAAAGTGGCTCATACTCCCGAGGAGTCCATTCGAACTCTCATTATTGTGGGGGTTCGCCCGCAGACTGACTTGTGCAAGGAACTGTAATCAGAGGACGATGTTTCCCTCATTCGCTTCTACAACCTCACTAAGAAATATCTCCGAATTGAAAATTATGTGGCCGCTCTTAACCGTCACGACCCCGGTCCCTCCACCAATGCTCCTGATTGGGGGGAGAATAGTAGAAAGGCTGATCGCAGATGGGCTAATGACGATCAACGTAAAGGAAAGAAGCAGCAATTTGAGCCTAAAAAATCTTATGTCCCAATTCCTCGTTGCGATCGCGACAAAAGTTAATACACTCATTTGAATACCTCAGTGTCGGCTATTCTGGATAAGTCAGAGGAGGTTAGCCTGCTCGAAGAGCTAGAGCCCATGAAGAATCCCCTCTCAACCAGAAACAGCAAAAAATATTATCACTATCATCAGGATAATAGGCATCACACTAATGAGTGTCGGGCTCTCAAGCAAGCAATCGAAGACCTCATCAAGGAAGGGCACTTCAAAGAGTATGTCGATAGTCCGACTTCCGTTCGAAAAAAGGATCAAGAGGAATAAGGGAAGAAGTGTCGTGGTCGCAAGGGTCTCTACTGTGTAGGGATCATCTTTGGAGGACCGCACCACGCGAGAAATTCTCAAGGTGCCTAGAAAAGGTATGCTCGGGAAGCTCGTCATGACCCCGTGAGTGTAATGAGCACAGCGCCGCAACCCGCTAAGGTTCGCAAAGAGGAGATCACATTCTCTAAGAAAGACGCAGTGCAATTGCATCACCCCTAAGAGGATGCGCTTGTCATCACGCCTAAAATAGATTAGTGCGAAGTCCACAGAATGTTGGTGGACAATGAAAGCATTGTGAATATCCTGTTTCAACAAGTTTTCGAGAAAATGCAATTGGACGAGGCAGACTTGAAGCCTGCCTCTATCCCCCTCTATGGTTTTACTAGGGATCATTTGATTCCTAGGAGAACGATCTCACTTCCAGTCACGTTGGGTGAATCCAACAAAATGACTAAAATGACGGAGTTTTTGTTAGTGGATTGTTCGTCCGCCTTCAATGGCATTCTAGGACGACCTCTACTGTGAAATTTCAAGGCAGTCACCTCCATTTACCATTTGAAAATGAAGTTCCCCACCTTGACGAGGATTAGGAAGTAAAAGGATCTCAACGCGAATCTCACGTCTGCTACATAAGTGCAGTGCATATGACGTGCAAGGGAAAAGGAAGGCCAATAGGCATCCTTGAGCAGACTATGGCGATCAACAGGATCGAGCCACAGCCCAGCCCAGCCCAGCCTAGCCTAGCCTAGCCTAGCCTAGCCTAACCCAGCCCAGTCCAGTAGAGGATAATATGGATCCTTGCATTCAAGAATGCCCTCACGGTGGGCCAGTTGAGGACCTATCTAAGGTGTTAGTCGATCAAAATGAGCCAACCCGAGTGTTGAGAATCGGGAGTAATCTCAACCCCTAGCTCGCTAAAAGCCTGACAAGCTTTCTTAAAGAGAATGTCGATATTTTTGCATAGACTCATGCTGACATGATCGGGATCAACCCGAATGTCATATGTCATGCAATCAATATTGATAGTGCGATCAAGCCAATTCGCCAGAAGAGAAGAGCCCTGGACTCTGAACACTATGCTGCCTTGAAAACTAAGATAGATAAGCTCCTTTTGAATGGGTCCATTAGAGAAGCGCTTTACTCGAGCTAGGTTGCCAATCCGGTCTTGGTAAAGAAGCCCAATGGCAAGTGGCGAACCTATGTCAACTTTACTGACTTCAACAAAGCCTGTCTGAAAGAGAGTTTTTCCTTGCATTGACCAGCTCGTTGATGCCACTTCCGTGCACGAGTTGCTGAGCTTTATGGACGCCTATTCGAGATATAATCAGATATCGATGTACGCATCGAATGAAGAACATACCTCGTTCGTTACAGATCGGGGACTATATTGTTACAAGGTCATGCCCTTCGGCCTAAAAAATGCTGGGGCAACTTACCAACAGCTGGTTAACCATATGTTTTCCGAGCAGATCGAAAAGTCGATGGAAGTTTATGTTGATGACATACTGGTCAAGTTGCATGTCGCTTCAGATCACATAGCGCATCTCGCTGAGATGTTCGATGTACTCCGAAGATACAAAATGAAGCTTAATCCTCTTAAATGCTCATTCGGAGTATCCTTAGGAAAGTTTCTGGGGTATATGGTTAATTAGAAGGGAATTGAAATCAACCCCGAGAAGATCTAGGCTCTCCTTAATATGAAAAGCCCGACCAATCGAAAACAGGTTCAAAGCCTAAATGGGAGAATAACGGCTCTCGGTCGCTTCATATCGAGAGCAACAAACCATTGCTTACCATTTTTTAATACACTCAAGGCCAATAAGAAGTTCGAATGGACTCTAGAGTGCGAGAAAGTTTTTCATAGCATAAAAGAACACCTCGGAAAGCTACCTCTCATGTCCAAGCCTCTTCCCAAGGAAATTCTACTCTTGTACCTGTCCATCTCTCAGCACGCGGTCAGCTCAACTCTCATTCGGGAAGAGGGTAAAGTTCAATGACCAGTGTATTATGCGAGCAAGCGACTGTTGGATGCCAAAATGCGGTATCCAAAAATGGAGCGATTAGCTTATGCCCTACTGATCGCCTCCAAGAAGCTCCGACCCATTTCCATGCCCACACAATCCATGTTCTGACCAACTACCCGCTCATGCAAGTTCTTCAGAAGTCGGAAGCTTCGGGTAAGTTACTCAAATGGTCAACGGAACTGAGTCAGTTTGATCTGCATTACAGACCGAAA